TGGTTATTGTCAAATTTCTCTTCCATTCTTTTTAGCCATCCTATGATCATTATTCTGAATTCTTGCTCTGTTAGGCTGGTTGCCTCTGACTCTACTTCCTTTTCTGGTGATGCCTGCTTTTCTTTTATGTGCAGACTATGTTTTTGTCTCCCCATAGCCTCTCTTTTCAGGGTGTCTGGTTATGTGGTGTTCCTTCTGCTGCGTTGATTTAAAGGTACAATATACAACACTACCAGGTACAACACAAGAGGCACTTAACAGGAATGTATTTACAATATTAATAACCTCAAATAAAGGTGACCACTAGAGAAAGGCAACTTAGGGGTTAGGGGAGAAGGAAGAAAGGTAAAAATAAAATAAAGAAAATTTTTTATAAAATTAAAATGTAAAAAAAAATTAAGAAAATAAAATAAAAAAAGAAGGATAAAGAGATATAAAGAGAAGAAAAAAAGTAATGACAAAATAAAGTTGGAAAACAGGGAAAAAAAGAAAGGAGAGAGAGAGAGAGAGAGAGAGAGAGAGAGAGAGAGAGAGAGAAAGAAAGGGAGAGAAGAAGCAAACTAAAAGAGAAATGGGAAACAAACTATATATATGTGGAGAAAATTGCCATAGAACAACTACTGAACCCAGCCAATGCCAGTAGCAATACTTGGAGATTAATACAAACTACAATATCCACTATTATTAAGTAAGTCTATGATATACAGAAGTAATAGAAACAAACAAAAACAGAGGATTTAAAAAAAAAATACAATGTAACAATAACAACACAGGAATAAGCATAACCATTTCACTAAAAAGCATAAAAATTCACAATAATCAACCCTCACACAAACAATGCGCAAAGGATAGAGGGGAGAACAGTTTTTGTTTTTTTTTAACTAGTTAATATAGTACAGAAATTGGTATTTATACACTTGGATCAGGGGTTGGAACTTAGGTCTATACGTATAGTGAGAGCTTTAGCAAGGGGTATACAGAAAGAATAGAGGAAAATCTAGAGCCGGAAAGGGATAGGATAAACCGTTGACTAAAAGGGTAAAGTTTAGTAAGAGAGTGATGGTGTAAAGGTCAAGTTGAGATAGGGTTGAATGATGCTAAAGTAGTGATTAAAATAGAATGGAGGTTATTCCCAATGTAAAATACAGAAAAAAAATAAAATAAAATGGTACTGGAGAGGAAACAAACAGACAAACAAACAAACAAACAAACAAGAAAAAACAAAGAACAAAAAAAAAAAAAAAAAAAAGGAAAGAAACAAAAATTGCAAAATAGCAATAGTAATAGTGATGATAAAGATTGAAAAATGTAATAATTGAAAAGGTAAAATGAAGTAAGGAAAAAAATAGAAAAAATTTTTCTTAAGTAAATGCTATAAAAAGTGAAAATTAAATAAAAGATGTAAAAAATGAAAATAAAATAAAGAATAGTAAAATTAGCATAAAAATGTCCAGTAGTGGTCATTCACTTCCTCTGTTAATGTATTTGGCACTCCTGATTCTCAGACCAGACAGTCTTGCAGGCCCCAGCATTCCACTGCACCTGAGTTTTGTAAGGTAAACCTTAATTTTAAGCAGGTTATATCTTAGTTATTTGTGTCCGTTTATTTTTGATTAATAAAAAGAAAAAAGAGAAAAAAAAAAAAAAAAAAAAAAAAAAAGAAAAAGAAAAAAAAAAAGGCAGTTTGTAATTCGGCTCTTAGGTGTCAGTGTTTCCGGTTTGACCTCCCAGTCTTTTTGGTTGCTCTGGCCTTCTTTCTCTATGGCTCTAGCTGGCTCCAGGACTATGTCTTCTGGCTCCAATCCCTTGTTTCCAGAAGGCAAATTCCCCCTACAATTTCCCCGGCTATGCCCCACTGGGCAGTTCTTCTCTAGTATTCAGAAGCAAGGGGATGAATGGGAACCGGTGCCAAGGTGTCCAGATGTTCCGCCCTTGGCGGGACAGCCGCTATTCTTAACACACTGTCCCTTGTCCCCTGGCGTTTTAAAAAAGCCCCTCTTCTGGGGGGGATTACTTCAAACCCAGCACTAGGTGTCGCTGTAGCCTTCTCTGGGCTCCGCTCCGCCTCCGCGGGCTGTAGTTCGTGCACCCGTCTACAGTGGAGGCAGGGCTGGAGCTCCCAGGCTACCGTAGCAGAGGCGGGCCGGAGCTCCCCGGCTGCCGTAGTGGAGGCGGGGCCGGAGCTCGCTGCCGCTATACCCAGATCCCTTAGGCTATCCCCGCAAACTCTGACCTTTCCGTGGGTGACTGAAGATCTCCCCGGAATCCACGTGTCTGCGCTGCTCTGGGAGTCTCAGCTGCTCGATGGACCTCCGGGCTGTGCGTTTTCCACGCCTCAGAGAAGCTCTTTCCTTCCTGGCAAGACAATGCAGCCCTTCCTCCACGCCCGCAGCCCACCGCACGTTGCCTCCGCTGCCCCCGCTGCTGCTGCTGCTGCTGCTGCTGCTGCTGCTGCTGCTGCTGCTGCCGCGGCCGTCCTGGCCACTTGGTCAGGAAATCCTGTCCAGCGGACTCTCCCTTACCCTCCTTGAGAGCTCCGCTGTCCCTTAGCTGCCAATCAACTCTCCCTGAGCGACTCAGAAGCCCCCTTTATCCGTTCTGGGACCAGAGTCAGAATAGGTCCGAGTGTTCGGTCGCCATCTTCAAGCTCCGCCCCATCTTGCCTTTTGAGAAGGTCATTTACAGAGTTTCTTGTGCTGAGGCTCTCAACATTGGTGTTCTGATAGCTATCACAGTCAGCTGTGAGGAATGTCACAAGTATAGATGGGCAAGAACATGGCCCTTGCTAATTATTAAAAAATTAGTTGAAAAATACGTTGGATTTAATACTCTTCTTATTCAAAAAAAGCTTTCACTTATTCTGAGTGAAGTGGCTGAGCAATGGCTGGCCTATCGGAATCATACACAGGGATGTGCTTTAGTGTGACTGTCATCTTTCGTGTGTGTCTTTTTGGCGGCAAGGCTGAGAACTGGTCATTTTTGAAGATCTTCTGTTATGGTTGTTAGTTTTACCTGCAGATATCAAGTGCACCAATAGGACCCCATCTGCATTTTATTAAATTTCTAATTGAACTTTTGGTTTTTATGCCCAAAGTAAGGTGTGTGATTATGTATTTGTTTTGTGGAGTCAGGAATATCTACTATTGTTAATAGAGTTAGCCTATTTGTGCTTGAAATTTTCCCTTTAATGTATTATCAAATATTAAAACATAAAGTTGATTTGTGAAGTGACAGAATAATCAAACAGGGTAAAACATTCAGAATTTGATATAGGTACACATGGGGATTTAGTTTCTAATAAATTTGTTACTCACACTTTGGGAGAGTATGGGTTATTAAGTTAATTATTTCCAAAAATTTGGAGAAGGGAAGGCTTTAAATAATTTTTACTTAAAACCCAGAAACCATGAAATAAATGTGTTAAATTTTAAGTGGTAAAAAAATTTTATACTTGGCAGAAATACCATAAGCAAAGTAAAAAGAAAATTCCAAAATGGGGGAAATATTTTCAATTCCAATTTCAGACAAAGGACTAATTTTTTCTAATATATAAAGAGCTCCTATAAAGCAGTAAGGACAGGTCCAACAACCAAGTAGAAATATGAATGAAGGGTGTTCACAGATAAAGAAACACAGATGATTTTTAAATAGAGGAAAGAATGCTCAGCCTCACTCATAAAGAAAAGCAAAATAAGACTTCTTTAAGATTACATTTGTTACCTGTCTTTGGCAGATGTAAGAAAGCCTGATATGACAGTGATGGGAGACACACAGTTTTGTACATTGCTGCTGCCAGGTGTAAATTGCCTTCTGTGGAGAACAATTTTTGCAGTATCTATAAAAATTTCAAATGTGCTTTGATCAAGCAATTTCACCTCTTAAGAATTTATCCTGTAGAAATATTTTCACATACTAGAAAAGACCTGTGCACAAAATTATTTGTAGCAGTATTATTTGTAATTGGAAACAAAATGTGAACAACCTCTGTAATCTCAATAGGCAACTGGTTAAATTGGTTATGGCACAGACATATAGTCAAATACTCTGGAAGCTATAAAAACGTTCAACAAAAATAGACCCAGAGACATAACTCAGAGGAAGGCAGGTGAGGGTTGCGGGGGTCAGGGATAAGAGATCAACCAAAGGACTTGTATGCATTCATGTAAGCATAACCAATGGACACAGACACTAGGGGGAGGAGCGAGGGTATGTGCTGAGGTTGGGAGTGGTCAGGGAGAGGTCAATGGGGAAAAAGGAGATATATATAATACTTTTAAAAATAAAGAATTTAAATTAAAAAAATGAGGCATCACCTTAACTGATACAGAATATTCTTCATTATATTATAGTATAGAAAAAAGCAGAATGCAGAACTGTGTTTTTGGTATGCTGCCATTTGTATGAAATGGGAAAATATATATTTAAGATATGTAAATGCTTATGTGTGTGTAGGCTATATCTAGAAGGATATGGAGGAACTGATTACATTGGGTTGCCTGACAGAAGAGGACATGGGTGATGGGTTATAGAATAGGGGTAGGAGGACACCCTTGACACAGTGTACCTTTTGTAGTATTTGACTTCAGAATTATAAGAATGTTTGAATAGAAAGTTTTAAAAGAGGATTTAAAAAAGTACTTTTTTGTTTTGCCTGAAGTTAGTGTTTACATTTTTCTTCTGGGTGCCATGACTGATGCTAATGGGGCTGATGATAATAGCTAACATTTATCCTGTGTTAGGCATGCATTATGCAGACCGGATGACTGAGTCATGGTGGGCTATGTGATTTGGCCATAACCATGTAAGTCTATTTGCAAGCAGCAGAGCTGGGATTTGATCCCAGGAGGCTTAGCTCCTGAGTGTGTTATAAACTACCCCTCTATAGGAACAAATAAGATCTGCCAACAACAGGTTTGCCCAGTTGTGTTTTATTTCATAGAGGTGAATTTCTTATTCCATTTAATATATTTAGGAAGATTGCTTCGCCCCCTTTTTTTCAGATTTATCTAAACATTTAGTACAGAATTATGGTGATGTAGAAGAACTTATGGATGCAGGAAATATCAATCGTACCACTGCAGCGACTGGGATGAATGATGTCAGTAGCAGGTCTCATGCCATCTTCACCATCAAGTTCACTCAGGTAAAGCAGATTCGGGGAACAGCTGGCTGCATCCCTGAGGTCTTACTTGCTGATTAGCATCAGCCGAGGACCCATCATTATTAAACCAGGAGCAGCAGCAGGCAAAGGTGACTGTCATGTTCCTGTTAATTAGACTTGAGCACATGCTCTGTGCTGAGCTTCTCTGTGGTTACCGTCACAGAAATTTGAAATGTCTTGATGTGTACTCTTAAGAGATATATAGCAGGCTTCTGCCCTGTTCAAGACACAAAAAGTCTTGCTTTGTGCTTAATTAAGCAAAAGTTTCATGTTGCAAGCTCTGAAGGAGATAATGGATTCCTAGTCAGACAAGCTGGAGGACAATGTAAGTAACTCATTGGGGTGCATTATCATTCCATAGAGCTCACCCCACAATGTTGATTATGGTTATTAGAATGATATTAAAGGACAAGGAACATTTTAAAGTAGTAATGTAAGAATTCACTCTGATTAGAGGGTATAGGGCATTTTGAATATGTTTGGAAATTATTGAAGGCAAGTATTTTAACACGTAGGCTGGTAGAATAGACGAATGCAAAAATATAGGGTCCTCTCAGGGCTTGATAGTATGCTAGGAGTTTAGAGATGTCTTGGGTGTATATTAGCCATTGAACATACGAGATACAAAAAGGTAGCATTTTCAGAGAGAGAGAGGAAAAAAAAAGAAAAAAATTCTCTTAGGTCAATTTATGAATCTCCACATCTTTACCTTTTGCTAGACATTTGCTTTTTACTTACTCCACTGGTTTTTCTCCTGTGTTCTACTTAATGCAGAGTATGATCTGGCCATTCCCAATTTCTAACAGGTTTACATTTCTGTCAAAACATGGTGATTTCTTTTTAGCATTTTGGTTCAGACTGTCAAGTGTAAGTTAAAGGTCTTTTGGAAAGTAAAATTTTGGTAAAAATCAGAATCAAGGAATACAGTATTTCAGGTGATCATTTTGTTATAATTTATGAAACAAAAGTTTGAACATCAAATAATGGTCAAATGATCTTTTACATCATTGTCTACACCTGTCCTCTATTGGAGGGCCATTGTGCTTGCTTGGAATGTTGAAGATCCTAGATGAAAACAAAACTAATTATTTGTTTACTTATATTTTTCTTTGTTGAGTGCCCCTCAGTATCTAGGTTCTTATTCCGCTACAGTCCGACTCAATATGCCTTTGTTGAGAGACACTGAGTGATTTGAATAATGGAATAGTTCTTCAGAAAGTTTAGGAGTCACATGGTATTCAGTTTACTTTTAATTTTTATGAGAGGCCAATGGGACAATCAAGTAAACAAAACCAATGCTGAGAGATCATAGGAGTAGAAAATAATTAGCATTTGTATAATTAAAAACATCAGAGAAGATTATCCTTCTTTAATTTTGCTTTTATGTTTTGCTGCAGGCAAAATTTGATTCTGAAATGCCATGTGAAACCGTGAGTAAGATCCACTTGGTCGATCTCGCTGGAAGTGAGCGCGCCGATGCCACTGGTGCCACGGGGGTCAGACTGAAGGAAGGGGGGAACATTAACAAGTCCCTCGTGACTCTGGGCAATGTCATCTCTGCCTTAGGTAGGTTCACACTTGTCTCCTGCCTCCTCTTATTCTCTCTGGTCCTGTGTTAGCCCACAGCAGTTATGTTTGTGTTATTAACTGAGGTTATATCCTCAAAGTTTTCTGAAGCCAAATCAGAAGGAAAAATCTTTAATAATTGTCTTTTTTTTTTTTTTTTTCCTTCTTGCCTCCTTGCAGCTGATTTATCTCAGGATGCAGCCAACCCTTCTGTAAAGAAGAAGCAAGTTTTTGTGCCTTACAGGGATTCTGTTTTGACATGGCTGTTAAAAGATAGCCTTGGAGGAAATTCTAAAACTATCATGATTGCCAGTAAGAATTTAAGTTCTTTTCCTCAACATAGTGTTTTGTGTGAATTAATTACATATTTAAGTTTAAAGAGTCTCATTAGGAAATTGCATCTTTTTATGTTAAAAACTAACAGTTTTTCTATCATGCAGAAGACCACTAACTGTGCCCTAGTCTGGAGTACCGTATTACTCTATCTTCCTCTTGCTGGTTCCATCGTCTTTCCATGTTCATGGTTACGCAAGCTGGGATATGCACAGAATAATTCTCAGCTTTTCTCTGCTTAAAGTACAAGATAGAAACTTTTACTTCACTAACTCATAGAAGAAAATCATTATAGGGACGTAAAGTAAAAATAACCCAGGTCAATTGATACATTTTTCACATCTTTGTCTTTTGTTAAATCTTTTTACTTTAAAACTTTAAAGCCATACATGTGGGATTTAATATTAAGAATTGAGAGGGAAAAGACCCAATAAATACAATAAATAATAACAACAACAGTAACATACTTCTATATTTTCACTAATTAACTGAAAGAAACAGAACAGAGAAAAATGTACAAAGGGAAACTTAAACTCTGTTTCCCTCCTGACCCTACCTCCCCTCCTCCCTCCTTTTTACCTCCTTTTCTCTTTCCCTGTCTCCGTGTCTCCCTGACTCTGTCTGCCATGTATTAACAGGATCTACTCTGGGGTGTGCACCCCAGATGTATCCACCTAAGCCCTACATTTTGTGGAGGGGAAGAGGGTGCAATTATGAAAATTAAAATTTTCCTCACAGCTTTATGAGGAAAAGAATGAATTGATACACTAACTCTTTCAAAAATTTCAGGCTCTGGATTTTTATAGATGGTAGACTTTATCAGAACTTCAGAAAATATTTTAACTTCTACTTAATATTGATTAGTACAAATACAGTAGTCTCCACTAATTGCTTTCTGTGTTTTCAGTTACTCACGGTCAACTTTGGTCTGAATATATTAAATAGAAAATTCCAGAAATAAACAATTTATGTTTTAAATTGTGTACCATTCCGAGTAGCAGTGACAGAATCTCTACCATCTTGCTCAGTCCCACCCAAGATATGATCATGCCTTTGTCTAGCATCTCCAGACAATATATGTCATTTAGTAGCCCTCTTAGTTATCATATTCACTGACCTGGTATCATAGTGCTTGGGTTCACATAACCTTTATTTTACCTGATAATGGCTCCAACATGTAAGAGTACTGAGGCTGGTAATTTAGGTATGCCAGATAGACTTCATAAAGGGTTTCCTTTAAGTGAAAAGTGAGAGTTCTCAGCTTAATAATAAATAAAAAAAGTGGTATGCTGATGTTATATCCATGGTAAGAATGAATCTTCTATCCATGAAACTGTGGAGAAAGAAATGAAATTCATACTACTTTTACTGTCGCACCTCAGACTTCATAGTTATGACCGCAGTGTGTGATAAGCACTTAGTTAGGATGGAAAAGGCATACAGTTGTGGCTGGAAGATGAGCAGAGAAAGTGTTTCCACTGATGGCAACATACTGCACCAGAAATCATTGAGCCTATATACGGACATAGCTGGTGTCACCTGGAATAGGTGACACCAGCTATGTACTGCAAGTAAGGGATGGTTACACAGATTCGGGAGTAGGGTTGAACTGAAAAATATAAAAATGACCACAGAGGCTGTGTCTGCCCATAAAACTGCTGACACATTTCCAGAAGAGATGAAGGTGTCGGGCAGGGTTCGGTACTGTCAGTGCTTTCAGGCATCCACTGGGGGGCTGGAACTTTGCCTCGCCCCAATGAAGAGGGGCCACTACTGTACTCTTGAATTCCTCTTCTTCCAATATATTTTTTAAAGTATTTTTTAAATTTGGTTTCATAGAGGAAGGAAGAGGGAGAGAGAGATAGAAACATCAATGATGAGCAAGAATCATTGATTGGCTGAACCCTCATCAGGGGATCGAGCCTGAAACCCCAACATGTGCCCTGACCGGGAATCAAACCATGACATTTTAGTTCATAGGTCAACACTCAGTCACTGAGCCGCACCAGCCGGGCATTCTTCCAATATTGTTAACAGAGAAGGCTCCCTAACCTACAGTGATGGACCTCTTATCTCATTTTAGAGTTGGTTCGGCGGCTGATTCTACACTTAAGAAGTGCCAAATGGCATTTAATTTAGTATAGTGAGTGCTTTTCCTATAAATCTTAGATAATTTTTAATATTCATTACTGTGGCAGGGAATATTTATTTAATGACCTCGGGTTAATCTGACTTTTAAATTACAAGCCAACTTTGTGTTAAAGGAAACACGGAGTGCCGGATAAATTATTTTTTGAATTCATTCTTCATAGCCATTTCACCTGCTGATGTCAATTATGGAGAAACCCTAAGTACTCTTCGCTATGCAAATAGAGCCAAAAATATCATCAACAAGCCTACCATTAACGAGGATGCCAACGTCAAACTCATCCGTGAGCTGCGAGCTGAAATAGCCAGACTGAAAACGCTGCTTGCTCAAGGAAATCAGGTCAGGTTTTTTTTCCTGAGATTTATGGATAATTTTCTTTGAGTAATGGCATCCATTTCTAGATCTTAACGAGATAATTATCTCACTTATTGTATTGATTTGAGTAAATAAGTGCTAAGTAAAGCTTGAATGAGTTAGCCAGTCTCTCCTTTACATCATTCTTCCATTGTCTTTACATTTATCATGTGCTCCTTATGTAAGTAAGATTTTATCCACTAAATCTGAAGCGATTAACTATCTAATAGTTACCAATTATGGATGGAAATCTAGCATGCAATAAGATTTGCAGCATAATCTCCATTAGTGGAAGGAAATGGAGGTGCTTGGAGTTATATTTAAAATTCTATTTGTGCATTTTGTGATTTGAAAATGTATTTTAACAGAAGGAAGGAAAGATTAGCTTGAATACCTTTCTGAGTTTTTGTTCTGTCTTGTCCTTTGCAGAGGTGGTTATCACCATAGCCTGGCACACCTGTAGCCTGGCTGAGACAATATTCCTGGGGCCTTGTTTGATTGTTGGAACAGCCTCACTTCTTTGGGGATTCTAGGGAAGGGGCCTTGTCCCTTTGTATTTTTCACAGTGAATTTACTTATAATCTTCAGAGCTTACATTCATAGATACATTCTTTTATTTATTTAAAAGTGTATTTTTATTGATTTCAGAGAGAAAAGGAGAGAGAGAGGTAGAGAGAGAGAAATATCTATGATGAGAGAGAATCATCATGCCCCACATGATGCTCCTGCATGCCCCACACTGGGGATTGAGCCCACAACCCAGGTATGTACTCTGACCGGGAATTAAACCAGGACTTCGGTTCATAGATTGATCTCAACCACTGAGCCACATTGGCCAGGTAAGAGTATATATATATATATATATATATATATATATATATATATATATATATATATAAAATTTCACAGAGGAAGGAAGAGAGAGCTAGAAATATCGATGATAAGAGAGAGTCATTGGTTGGCTCCCTCTTATATGCCTCTACTAGGGAATGAGCCCGCAACCTGGGCATATGCTCTTGACCAGAATTGATCCTGGGACCCTTCATTTGCCAGGCCGACTATCCACTGAGCCAAATTGTCCAGAGCAAGAGTTACGTCATTGATAAATAGTGTGAACTAGGTTCTTATAGGTCTAGACACTTGTAACAAAAGACCACTTTTAAAATCAAATGTAGCTTTTCAAAATGTTTGCAGTAGATTGGAGTTAGAAATAAATGAAGATACATTTCTTCCCACTTTATTAACCTATGAGTAGGTGTCAAGTGTATCACTAAATATTAGTTTTCTTTAAATGCCATCTCTAGAGCAGCTTCCTATCTAGAAATATATGTCCCGTGAAGCCTTTGACATAAGTGGTTTTACCTATGAAGATATTGATGGGATGAAAATCTTACTGAGTTTCCTGTGGCCTGAAATACAACTGAAGTTATTTCCCGAAAGATGCTAGACAACAGTTGTGGAGGAATTGCTCATTACACTTAAAAACATGTCCATATACATTTTACTTTTTAATGGGGATCTATTTTGCGTATGTAAGGAAGTTGTCAGAACAAATAGTCCAGCTGTATGTGTTGCTATCAGGCAATATAACTTAGGACATGAACCCAATAGTTATTTTTACTTATACACCCGTCCTTGGGATCTTTTCCAGTGTTTTTAAAACATTATTTATCTGAAGTAAACATTTAAGTATGATTTTATGGGATCACCCAAACTACTAAATGTGAAGGAAAGTATTTGGGAAATTCTTATGCAACTTCTTTTAAAGTTTTACTAAGTTATGAGAGTGAAGGAAAAAGAAGATTAGCTTCTTAAAATTAAACAAAGGAAATTTTTGAAAGGAGCCTTATTATGTGGGCAGAAAAGCTCCTGGGGAATGTCTTCAAAGATATTGTGTGTGCCAGTTGCCTTATATTTTGTGGTATTTTATTTTTTTTTATTATATATATATATATATATATATATATATATATATATATATTTTTTTTTTTTTTTTTGCATGACCAAAGACTACTGTAATTAAAGAAGTATTTTTGTTGCTGTAATTTTTGGGATGAGGATGGAAAAGGTAGTTAAGTCTATTTTATAACACACTGCAGATAAAATTTCTTGATAAACTCAATATATTAAAATAAAAACAGGAGTCCAATTTAAAATAATTTATCATACTATGAAGCTATAAATTGTGAGATAATATAGGCTTATTCAAGATTAAAGTTTTGATGCCTAATAAAATAAGCAGGTGTTCTTAGGTGCCCATTAAAAAATCTTTGTTTACATTTTTCTGATGATATTGCTCCATTCTCATATTCTTGTATTCCAAATGCTGCCATGGTGCATTGAGAATGTTACTCAAATCAAAGTTCCATTTCTAGGGTCAATTTGGTCCAGTTAAATAAGAATCGACTTCTTTTAATAATTTTATTTATTTGCCAATCAAAATGTCATGTGCATAGAGTTTTAAAATCACAATTTTAATGAAACAAATTATTTTGACATATATTGGATTTGCTTCTCCTATTATATAGAGATAGGTAAATATATATGTAGTTATTTATATATGTATGTGAACTCTTTATTGAAGTATTATATGTGTGCAAAAATTACATTTATATAAGTATACAGATCAGTGAATTTTTACAAGATGAAATCACCCCTCTACCCTTCTCCCACATCAAGGAACAGAACATTACCAGCACCCTAGAAGTCCCCCTTAGTGTTGCTTTCTAGGTACTATCCACCCTTCCCTTTAAGGGTAACCAGATCATGAGTTCTAAAGGCATAGATTAGTCTTTAGTTTTGCCTATTTTTGTTCTTTACATAAATGGAATCATGCAGTATATATTCTTGACCTTACTTCTTTCACTCAATATTGTATTTGTGAGATTCATCCACTTTGGTGCATGTAGTTATAGAGCTGTTTATTTTCATTTCTATATTGTATTCTATCATATAAATGTTTCCCAACTCATATGTATGTTCTATTTTTGATGGGCACCTGGGGAGTTTCTTTTTTGGTGTTGTTGTGATGCTGTGGACTTTCTTATACATGTCTTTTAGTGAACATGCAGATACATTTCCTACAAGTATACATATGTCCAGTTTTAGTGGATACCAATTTTTACTCCATCATCAGTATATGAAAGTGCGTGCTAGGTGTAGTTCCTTCAGGTCCTTGTCAACACTTGGTACTGTCCATTTTTCACTGTAACCATTCGGAGGGATGCATAGCAGTTATCACTGATTATATTAGCTTGTACTTCTCAGAAGATAAATGAAATTGAGCATTTGGATATTTTGTATTTTCAAATGTTCTCTTTTATTATATTTAAAGCATATTTTCAGACCCGTGTTTTGAATTTGACAGAAAGATAATGTCTCTTAACTCTTCACTTTTGAACTCATCTAGAGGTAACAGGAAAATGAAACAATATAGAAATGAAATGAACAACAAAAGTCAGGAAGCAAAAAAACACAATGAGAGAAGATGAAAGTAGTATGAATTTCTCATTTTTGTAGCTGGAGTCAACAATAAGGTTTAAATAGTAGATAAATAATAGAAATATCAATATAACTCTTATGGTCACATAGGAAAGTTCAGATACATGATGTTTGTAAGGATGGTCAAATATCTACCAGCTAATTTAAGGGGAAAGTATACTGTGTAAAAATAGCATTATATGAGCATAAAAAAAGCACTTTGTCCCAATAAAGAGTGCAATTCATAATTACAATCAAGTATGGTGTCAGCTTTCATAAAAGAAAAAGAAAAACAAAACTCTAGGAAATAGCCACTTCTCAAGAGAAGACATGGAGATTGCCAATAAACATATGAAAAGGTGTTCAAACTATCAGAGAAATGCAAATTAAAACCACATTGAGATACCAAGTCACACCTGTCAGAATGGTGATCATCATAACCATTGGCGAAGATCTGGAGAAAAAGAAACCATAGTGCTTTTGATGGTGAGGATGCAGACTATTCAGCCAGTATGGAAAATAGAATGAAGGTTCATAAAAATTAAAAATGAAATTTCCTTATGACCCAGCAATTTCACTTTTGGTTGTATATCCAAAAAACCAGAAATACTAAATTGAAAGAATATATGAACCTCTATATTTATTGCAGAGTTATTTCCAATAGCCAAGATATGGAGGCCAATGCAAGTGCCCATCAGTAGATGAATGGATAAAAAGTGTGGTACATATATATAATGAAATATAACCTAGCCATAAAAAAAAATGAAATCTTTTTTTTTTAAAGAATGAAATATTATTGTTTGCAACAGAATGGATGGCCCTATAGAGTGTTAAGATAAGTGAAATAAGTCAGTCAAAGACAAATTCCATATAATTTCACTTATATGTGGAATCTAAAGAGCAAAATAAATGAACAAACAAAATAGAAACACACAGAGAGAACAGACTGATGGCTGCCAGAGGAAGGGATGATGGAGAGATGGGTGAAAAGATGAAGAGATTAAGAACTATAAATTAATAGTTACAAAATAGTCACAGGGATATAAAGTACAGCATAGGGAATATAGTCAGTAATATTGCAATAACTATGTATGGTACCAGGTGGGTACTTGAAATATTGGGGGTAACACCTTATAAAGTAAATGATTATCCACTATGCTGTATACCTGAAGCTAATACAAAACAATATTGAATGTAAACTAATTGAAAAATAAAGTAAAAAATAATAATAAACAAATAAAAAAATAAACTGTAGGAAATTGCAGGAGTTAGAGCCGTATACATATTTGTCACAGGGAACTTGTATTCCTCTTTCTCATTTTATGAGAGCTCATATAGACAAAAATAAGTGAAGACAGCATGTCTACATTGCATAATGAAAATCTGCTGGAATCAGTAAAACCAGGAAAAAGATTGCCAACTCATGCATCAAAAGACTACTTTTCTTATGAGAAGTGCTATTAAAAACTAAGAAAATTATGATCCAACAGAAAAGTGAATGGGACAATATGAGCATAATTCATAAGAAAAAAGTTACAAATGGCCTCTAAACATCTGGAAGTAAGCTCAATGTCATTTGAAATAGAGAAATGCAAATATTAAGAATAGTAAAATATGTATATGTAAATAGATACATAGTTATCAAGCTGTGTATTTTACTATATGTTCCAAAAACAGTGAGATGCCCTTTTCACCTCACATGGCCAAAAATCAAAACACTTGATTGGACTGTATATTGGCAAGGGTTAGAGACAAGAGTTTCTTGTATATGTCATTAGTAGAGTTGATATTGCTGAAGTTTTGATGTAGTGTTCCTCTTGATTTAACACATAAACTTAATATCAGTATTATTTAATCTTGAACACTTTTCCTCAAAAAGGACACTTTTGCAAAGAATTCGTTAATTGCAAAAGTTTTAGTTTTACCAAAGATTTCTTTGAGAAAGAGCTTAGGGAGGTCTTTATTTATGTGTGCTTTAAAATAATTTTCCAAACTTATGGTGATAATGGTAGCCTGCTTGCATATGTTTAATCAGTTATTACCTACTGAGCTGATGTTTAGAATGTTTTAGCTTTGATTGCCAATGAAACATTTTAACAGTGGAGTCTGAAAATGAGCCATGTTATAAAGGGGGTTACTAATTGTATTGAAAATTGTCAACCATATACAATGATGCAGTTATTATAATATCTTCCACTTGCATTTCTTCAGTGAAAAATACTTATTATCATCTATGTGTACAACGGCATGGACATGCTTGGTGCAGTGATGTATTGAAGTAATGTGTTGGCAAAGCTTCTTTTCTTCCATTAAGGATGAATTTGACCTGGAGTTAACTTGCTGGTTTTATTCTATGTAAACTGGATAAAAGTGGGATGCCAGCTGTATAACCAGGCAACATCTCTAATGATAAAAATATCCCCTGCTTGGTGAATTGCATCTGGAGTAGGATGAACTCTCTATAAGCTATAAATGTGCTGCTGAGAAGCCTTAGCTTTGGGTTTCCCTGAGAGCAATGAATCTTATAATAGGGATGTTCCTTGTGGGGACCCCAGAGGATATGCCTATGACATTATTACAAGAGATATTAGTTCCCCACACATGTCTTGACCCTCAAGAGGTCCAAAGACAGTACTCCTGGACAGCTGTGGGGACTACTGCAGAGAGCACATGATACCTTGCCCTTCCCTGCTGGCTGCTCTGTCTTTTGCTGAGCACAAAGATGCCAAGAGTGGCCCATGGTAGTCTTGTTAGTCTGAATGTTTAACTGAGCCTACTGAGGTCAACTCATGGGAATTATATTTGTTCAAATAGAAATTTAAATGTAAATAATAATGAAAGAAATATTCAGCCTCTGAGGAAGACAACTTGGCTATTAAAAAAAATCATATATATATATATATATATATATATATATATATATATATATATTGATGAGTCACAGATTTCCCCTTAGGAATTTATTCTGTTGATATAGCCATGCATACTGTAGGCAGCGATTATAGGGATAGTCATTGTAGCATTGCTGGTAGAGCAAAAGATTAGAAAAAACTGCATTTCCATTAATACTAGAGCACTGACATAAATTATAGGATATCCATACAATTCTGCTCCATGGTGGAATTGGAATTGTTAAAAAGGATGAAGTGGTTTTATTTGTACGGAATTTCCCCCAAGATATGTAATTGAGTGAAAAAGGCAATAATCAGAATAGTGTTTATGTTTAAAAATAGACAGCAAAAACATGCCTGCATATGACTAGAATAATTGCAAGTTTACACAGCAAATTGGATAGAGGTGGTTGCCTGTGGGAAGGGGAGGGAACAAGACCCCCTTATTCTTTCTTATGGTATCTGAGGAAGCACCGTGTGCCACCTGTCAGATGAGTTACAAGTAGTTAAAGCCCCTCTGTGCTCTGCCCCACCTGGCTTCATTTGCCTCTCCCTTCTCTATCTGCTTCGTCCTCCCAGTTCTAACCCGATTTTGGTGTTTATCATTCTCATATCAATCTTTATATCTTTGAGCAACATGGGTGAGGAAGTGGATGAACAGATTGTGGTATAGCCATACTATACATGGGATATCACCCAGCAATGAAAATAAATGCGTTTTCTTTGCATATGCCAATAAGGATGGATTTCAAAAGCCTGTGGCTGAACAAGACTTAAGCTTTTTATATTTTGAATTATTGTAGTTTGCGCATATTCAAAGTAAACAATTTTTAAGGCTCTATTTATTTAGGTCATATGTGATTTGGGGAAAATGTTAGTTATATTACATGTATGGCTATTTCTCACTTTGCTGATTTGTATTGCCAATGTAGGTTTATCAGGATACTATGGTTTTGAATGTTATGAGATATGCAGCCCATGCAGTAAAGACTTGGTGGTGTGATTGACATGCAGGGTCTGGGACAATACTTTTTACTGCTGTTTAATAGTTTATTTGACAATTTCTGGTAATTTTCTGTATCATGGAGCAATCCTTCCTCTAGATTATTGTTGTGTACTAATTACTGCTTTCTTATGGTTTAAATCATAGATTGCCCTTTTAGACTCTCCCACAGCCTTAAGTATGGAGGAAAAGCTTCAGCAGAATGAAGCAAGAGTAAGTGATGCCTTGATTTCTTATTATTTCAAAATCATTACTTTCACTATTATTTTAAGAATATGCTTTTTAGTTCTTGCCATTTGAGACTAATTTTCTCTCTTCATGACACTTAACATTTTCCCACCCCTACGTGTGATAATCTCTGAATGCATAATAATCTGGCTGCTCAGTGTATATCCTATATAATAAAAGGCTAATATGTAAATTGTCTCCTCTACCAGGAGTTCGACCAACAGTTAAGTTGGCCAACTGTCCATGTCCTCTCCCTTTGGCCAGGCTGGCTGGACCCCACCCATGCATGAATTCATGCACCAGGCCTTTAATATATGTATATGTATATGTATATGTATATGTATATGTATATGTAAATGTAAATGTATATGTATACGTACACACACACACACAGCTGAGTGGCCAGATTATTATGCATTCAGAGATCATAATAATCTGGCCACTCAAGGTATATACATATATATGTATTTATATTATTTTTTAAAATATATTTTTATTGATTTCAGAGAGGAAGGGAGAGGGGGAGAGAGAGAGAGAGAAACATTAATGATGAGAGAGAATCATTGATTAGCTGTCTCTTGCATGCCCCCTTCTGGGGATTGAGCCTGCATCATAGGTATGTGCTCTGACTGGGAATCGAACTGTGACCTCTTAGTTCATAGGTTGATGCTCAACCACTGGACCACACCAGCTGGGCAAATAGCCCTGTTTGAAAAGAGAAATGGCATTAAGAACTTACTTGGATTAGATTTTGTTTATTATTCTGAATGGTTAAAACAGACTGAGAAAGGAAACTGGATTTTCTTGGTGAAGCTCCTTAAGAATACACAATATTGAAGATATAAATTGGGTGTTATTAGGAACTTGTTGATACTTCCCTGGATAAATATGATGAATAATTTGATGATAATAGCACTAGTAATATTAGTTTCTTAATTTCTATTTTTCTCATGAAATTTTGTATTTAGTACTTCATATTCTAACTTTGAATGCTTTGAAATGTCTGGATATAATCTTAAAATTTTTTTAATAATAGTTTTCAGGAATACCTAGGTAAAGTTAATAGAAACCAATATACATTTAAATTCAAATGCATTATACATGCTGTGACAGAAGTGACTGCCTATCTCTTTCATAACATTTTCTAAATTATCACCTATTATTTTTTTGCTGACCTTTTAAAATTGTCATTCATCTGCTTGGCTACAAATCTTTATTACTTGCTCACATTGTTAGAGGTCATATCATATGCTTTCATTTTTTTTTAATTTTACGAATTGAGATTATTTGCTTTAAACTCAATAGTAAAATAAACTTAAGGCATACTTACCATTTGTTTAAATCTGGAATTATTTCATTGAATTGGAAAAGAATTGATTGGCTTATGTTTCTTCAGGGAGGGCATATACCTATGTTGGTGAAGTAAAGAAGCATTTATTGTTGAATGCTTAGTGTTTCTCAGAGACATTGCTAGTGAGAATCTGTTAATTTATTACTATAAATTAGTAAATTCAGCCCACCGATCTCTCCCCTTCTGTAGGGAGAAAAGGCATAAGAATATTTCCTCTTCGAAAGCTTTTGCAAAACATAAGCCCTGAGAGCTATGTGCATTTACTGCTGTCAGAGCCAGTGGAGTTGGCACCACTCATGTGATGAAGGTTTGGAGTATATAGCCAGTTCCAGATAGATTAGGACAGTCTTACCAAACCATTAAAAACAAGCAAAAACAAAGAGAGGCTTTGACAGGTTTCTTTTTTCTTTTTCTCTTTCTTTTTTCCTTCCTTCCTTCCTTCCTTCCTTCCTTCCTTCCTTCCTTCCTTCCTTCCTTCCTTCCTTCCTTCCTTCCTTCCTTCCTTCCTTCCTTCCTTTCTCCTCCTCCTCCTCCTCCTCCTCCTCCTCCTCCTCCTCCTCCTCCTCCTCCTCCTCCTTCTCTTACCAAGAAGATGAGAGACTTTGACATTACTAGTAAAAAAGAAGAAACATTATTTTAATTTAGAAGTTATACATCCCTGTAAGAGGTAAATTGAGGAGTAAAAAGAATAGCCAGTTCAATTTAGATGCATGAGATGTTTTGGTTTTCCTCCGGGATAAACTGTGAGTCTAGTTCCTTCATTTTACCTCAGTTACAAACACTTCCAGGAAGATTGCAGGCACGAATGCCCTTTCCTGTTACTATACTTGATATTAAGTGTGTGGAAAGGATCTTCCTCTGTGTGGTAAGAGTACAAGCAGATGCATTCGGTGCATCCACTTAGGACTGGTTAAATAAGGCAGCTTATCAGAGGGAAGACCGGGAGGTGTCGGTGGCATTGTCAGCTGTTGGGAGTGGGGAGGTGGCATGAGTGCTGGGGTAAAATGGGGGAAAGGATTTGAAAGCATGTGTACCCCCACTCTGCCTCTTGGAAGTCACTCTTTCAGCCATAGGTATACCCCTTTTCATAGAACACATTGTTCATTCATTTTTTTCTACCTTTTCGTAAGGAATCACTTTTGCTTCTTAATGATTTATACATGAAGATTATTTTAAAAGTTTTATGGAACTAACAGAATGTTTTCATTAACTTGGAGAAGCCACTTCCAGTCTTGCTTTGTTGGACAGCTGGGTACATTTTCTTCCCTAGTTTCAGCAGACTAGAAAGAAGCTGATTCTTATCAAAAGATTTTTGCTTTTATTAAGAGTCAATTAAAGAGCTACCCCCCCTTTAAAGATAGAATGAGATTTGTAAGCCCTATTAATTAGCTACAAAAGCAGATTATCTCCTAAAAAGAAAACTGCAGCATCCCAGGTGATTTAATCACACATGTAATGAGAAAGAAAAGTCAGTCATTATTTAGTAAGACCTAAAATATAATCAGGAAAAAATTAACCCATTTAATGTAGGATGAGTTCAGCTGTTTCACTTATATTTAGTGATGGTTCTTTCAGGACTAGAAATTGCCATGCAATTTAAAACATTACAGTACATCCTTTTTTATAAAGCTACTAAAGTTGGAAACTTTCTATAACAAAATCACAATATTTTTTATGGAGCAATCACAAATGTATATTTTTTTTCTTTTAGGTTCAAGAATTGACCAAGGAATGGACAAATAAGTGGAATGAAACCCAAAATATTTTGAAAGTAAGGACTATAAAAAGGTTCCTTAATTTTACTGTGCTGGTTTAGATAGGTAAAAGTTTATTTTCCTTCAAATATGGCTGTTGTGTGCTTTGCTGAAGGTGATTAGTGACTCTTGGGGCCTGGGGTTCTGGTTTGGTTTTGGAGAAAGGGGAAAGAGCTGTTAGAGCTGTGTGTGTTTTAACACGTAGAGATGATGTTGATACCTGAGGGGTTTGCTTTCACTTGGAGTTTTTTATGTTTTTGACTCAGCACGTATTAAGCTCCATTTAACATTTCACTTTGCCTTTCTGCTTTTGTTAAATGCAGTATAAAGTGATATGTTAAATTAAAAACCAAAAACAACAACTGCAGAAACTATCCCATGGCAATATTGTAGAATAAGTGTGCAGAACATGGTTAGATTTCAGAAACTCCTAAGAAATTTCTTACTGGATTTTTTTTTTCTGTATGTTTCAAGGGTTAGACACTGACAGTCTGCATATTTGGCAAGACTCATGAAAGGACACCATTTTTCATTCTCTGCTTCAAAGTACATATTTTTTTTTATGTTCCCTTTTTGCTGAGTTGATCGAAAATCCATGCTGTCTGTAGAGGGTCAGCAGCACCAGGTTTGGGGTTCAGAATTGAATTTTGTGCTTTGAATGAATCTGTCTGCCTTGATGCATGAGAGACTGTGATTTAGAGTCTGTGGAATCCTAGGCTTGCTTTTGAGGCCCCCTCTAACATTAGCTAGGCTGCATACCTTGGCAGAAACCCTAATTTGGATCCACTTCACATGAAAACGGGGCACAAAGTTACCCTTTCATGGGGGTAAACTTTTGAAGGCCTGGCTTGCCATTCAGTTGTGTGTCTAAACCGTCTCTTAAAAAGTGGGGTCAGCCTTGTTCCATAAGGTTCTCCATGTACCATTTCGGCAGCTAATTCTGTTCTGAGGGTTACAAGACTGTTTCTCATGCAGCCAGAGGCTGTGCTGCAGTTCTCAGTGGTGGTGGGTTGTGATGATCCAGGCTTTCTTTTCTTCCCTTCTGGTTATGATGGTAATATATTATTTCCTCAGCTTCTCTTTTATTGAGAGATCTTTCTGCAGGAAACTGAATGGAGACCTGACTCACATTTTGGAATAGTAAGGTATGGAGTAAGCACCACCAAAGATGTGCATGTTTTTCATCCTTTAAGTGGCATCAACCGTCCTGAGTGATGCCGCAGCCCCAGGCTGTGAATCCAAGTTGTTTGACCTTTCTTGGCACAATATACACTTTGCTCAGTAAATTGCCAAAGAGAGTGGGCTCCGATCTGTTCCATTTAGGGAAAAGAGAAAGCAAATAGTTAGCTACTTGAAAAGTCATCAGTGTACACAGTGCCTGTTAGCACAGGAGGGACTGAAGCAGTGAACTGAAGGACTTCCGCCGAGCCTCTCCAGCTGCCCGGCCTCTCCTGCTGCTGTGATCAGGGTTGTGGTTTCTGCAAAGAGTTCCTTCCGGAGCGCTACTGTGCTGAACCTGGAACTTTTCCTATGGACTCTGACACTAAAATCTTCCTCCAATTCCAGTTCTATTTTAAAAAAATAAATTTTATTATATATTTTTTTCACTTTTCAGATGAGGAAAATAGAAATGTGGTATGTGCTAGGGGTTAAAGGTTATGAGAAAGGTGGATGCAGTTTCAAGTTATTCCCTTCTTTTGACCTTGCAAGCCCTTTTAGGATTTCTCTGCTGGTGTCTGCGCTTTCAGCCTGCAGTTGTTTTCTGCTCACCTTTGATAAGGGCTGTCTTTATCTCTTCCCGGAAGACTGTATCTGAGGGCTGAGGTGAAGAAGATGTCTTTGAAAACATTCTGTGGAAATTGATGGGGAAAGTGTCACTGGATGAATCTGAATGAGTTTATTATATCTGTGTGGTTCGCATAAACCTTTCCCATATTTCTGCCATCTTACCCTTCAATGATGCTACATAGAACCCACTGCAACCCCGTGGCTTAAAACCATATTTATTTTCTCAGGCTTGTATAGATTGGCTGTGTGTTGGCTGCTCAAGTAGGTTTGGCCGGGCTTGGATGCGGGCTGTGGGTGGGTTCCAGGTCGGTTGCACATGTCACTCTCCTCTAACCAGCTGGTTGTTCAGAGCATGCTCTTCTCATGGTCTTGGCCAAGGTACAAGCAGACAGGCCTCATCATGCAAACACATTTCAGGCTTCTGTTTACATTATATCTACTAGTATCCCATAGCAAATCACTTGGCTGAACTGAAAGTCAAGGGGAAAGAAGTGTATGTCATTTAATAAGGCCCTGGCAAGGGTGTAATTGCATGAGCCTACTTTGAGATCAGTGGTCTGCTCTGTACACACTGTGTTAAAATATGAATCTTTTTAGTTCCTAGAACTTACTTTTTTTGTAGAGGCAGGCCAGTGAAGCACTACATCTCTAGGATTAGCTTCTACATCAGGACCTGGTTGTTTACTCTGCCAATTTGTTAATTGTTATTGCTTCCAAGCCCCAATTTTAAACATTCAGAAAGACATCTCTGGGAAGAAGACTTAAGAGAGCAAAATAACCTTAGGCATTAAAGGGAGATATAAGGACAAATTTGTTGTTTCTTGGCACAGAAAGAACCTTTCTTATTCCTTTTTCTTGCCCAACTTTATTATGTTTTTTATAGTTTAATTAGTGACCCAGAGCATGAAATTCATGCACATTAAAAGGGGATTCATTAGAGGAAATAATGTAATATTGCTATTTGCTCTTTTTCTATAATAGAAGTGTCAGAGCTGAAAGAAAATTAATAAAATGTATATGAAAACCTTTCTCCTGTCAGAGTCTGGGGCACACCATGGGACCCAGAGTTAAGTCCCCACCCATCCACATGCACCTCAAAATTGTGTTAGACCCAGACCCGGCCAGCCCTCCATCATCATTTGGGCTAGATCCAAACCTGGCCAGTCCCACCCTTGTCAAGCCCCGCCAGGTTGGAGACACGGCCTGAGATCCCCTGTCAAACCCTGCTGGGTGGGGGGCATGGCCTGAGGTCTCCTGTCAAGCCCCTCCAAGCAGGGGGCCAGCCTCAGGTCCCCCGGCCCAGCCCCGGGAGGGAAGTGCAGCCTCAGGTTCCCTGTCAAGCTCCACTGGGCGGGGACGTGGCCTGAGTTCCTCGGACCCAGCACTGGGGGTGCACCTTGAGGTCCCCCATCAAGCCCCACTGCATGGGGGGCATGGCCTAAGGTTCCCTGTCAAGCCCAGCCAGGCAGGGGGTGCAGCCTCAGGTCCCTTAGCCCTGTACTGGGGCAGGAGTGCGGGTTGAGGTCCCCTGGCCTGGTGCTGGGGTGGAGGGCGTGGCCTGATGTCCTCTGTCAAGCCCCACCTGGTGGGGGCATGGCCTGCGGTCCCCTAGCCTGGCACTGAGGCAGGGGGAGCAGCCTGAGGTTCCTTAGCCCAGCACCAGGATGGGAAGTGTACCTTGAAGTTCCCCCATCAAGCTCTGTCGGGCAGGGGGCTTGGTCTCAGGTCCCCTGGCCTGGCACTGGGGTGGGGGGGTGCGGCCTGTGGTCCACCAGCCTAACACCAGGATGGAGGCACAGCCTGAGGTCCCCTGTCAAGCCCCATGGGGGTGTGGGAGGGCATAGCCTCAGGTTGATTGCTGGTTAAGGCTCCTTATAGGAACTTGGCCTCAGATATGGGTGCAGCCATCTTTGTGACAGAGTGATGGTCAATTAGCATATTCCTTCTTTATTAGATAGGGTATTTTAATTTTTAAATTTTTATTTATTTATTTAAATATATTTTATTGATTTTTGTACAGATAGGAAGAGAGAGGGATAGAGAGTTAGAAACATCGATGAGAGAGAGTCATTGATCAGCTGCCTCTTGCACACCCCCTTCTGGGGATATGCCCGCAACCAAGGTACATGCCCTTGACCGGAATCAAACCCAGGAACTTTCAGTCCCCAAGCCGACGCTCTATCCATTGAGCCAAACCAGTTTCGGCTATTTTTATTTTTGATGTCTTTAAATTTTATATTTTAACTACAGTTTACCTTAAATATTATTTTGTGTTGTTGCTCAATTCATAGAAGGAAACTCATAGGTATTGCTTGTAGAGAGGACTAAGGAAAGAGTATAACCCTTCTCAGCCACCAGAGTGAGCTTTATAATTGTTGAGCTGTCTGTGTTGACTGCTTACATTTCCTATTCAATTCTGAGACTTGAGACTAGGTTGTCAGCATGCATCGTGAGCAGTTGCCTCTAGAATATATGGGAGCCCATTCAGGCAGGGTAAAGAGTCTCAAGTGGGTATGGAAGGCAAAGATACTTTAAAGTCTGAATTACCGGTACTCTTAAAAGTCCCTTCATTTCCCAGGAAATCACCAGATCCCGAGCCTTCAGATGCTCAAAAGCTAAGGAGTAACTTCCTTTCTTTTTAAACTGTGGCTTTGCTTGCTCTAGATGAGTGAAATCCAAGGTCATGTTGAATGGGGGTGGGGATAGAGTGAAAGGCTGCTGGGTGGACACATGTCTGACAAAAGGCACTGGCTGTTCTCAGCCAAGCTGGTGGCACTGTGGTGATAAGGATGAGGCTTCCAGCTTTGTCCTTCGGAACTTGGATCTTCGGCTTTCTCACTCCCTGGGTTCTGCCACTTACCCACAGTTGACACACACCCTTGTTCCCAGCTTGAAAATAAGGGTGGGTGTCGACCTCTTCCTTACATCCCAGTTAGCAGGGTCTGAGATAATAAAGTACTCGGCTTGCTCTGAAAGTAGCTAATGATGGTGGAAAGTGTATTTATCTTTAAGAGGTAGTTCTCAGGCAGTTAGATAATGAGAGTTTTATTATCCCCTACAATGTATTCTCTTGCCTCTTCATCTACCTTCCTTTTTTCATTAATCTTCATTTTCTAGAAAATTAAAGTCCAAACTTTCTTGCCTGGCCCCCAAAGGCAGTGATCTCCTTTCCACAGAGCCTATCACACAGTTCTCTGTGCCCCACATCCCGGCATCTCTCCCACCCCCC